CTTCTCCTCTTCACCTGAGCTCCAGCGGCCCCAGCTTGGCTGATGTTACATTTTTATAGTTGTAAATTTGTTGATTTGTGGGAAAGAGTGATGCTGCAGACCATCTATTCTGCCATCTTGACCGGAAGTCAACAAATACTCTTTTTTAACAAAATGTAATGGCCGCATAGTGTTCTATTATACAGAGAAAACTATCTTGAGGTTTTTTTCCTTTGTCCATAGTCCCTATTATAAGCACTTAAATTTGTCCACTAATGACACTGTGCTAAATTATGTTCTTGTTCATTCATATTACCCTACATTTTCTAATGTTTTCTTTAAAAAGAGTTACAATATGTGGAATTTCTTAATTATGTATGTGCACTTTTAAGAGTTTTGATATAAAATGACTTATCTTCAAAAAACTGCATGCATTTTCATTTCAACTGCAGTAGGAAAGTGTCCCTTTACACACAGAATGGTTAATCTTGGAAATTAGCTTTCTGAATGTGTGTCAGTGAAGACAGATGCAAGTAACAAAAAACCCAACAGTATATGGCTTTATAGTATTGGCTGCAGTATCAAAGAGCAGGATAGGAGGTGATTCCTTCAAGGGCATGGGATCTGTCCATCTGTCTGTGTGCTATCTTCAGCTGACACACTAGCTAGCTCCCTGAGGAACAATTTTAAGTGTCACTTCCAGACACACTCTCCAGAAAGGAAGAAGCTGTATCTTTTTGGAATTGAGGAAGCCTTTCCCTAAGGTTCCCAGAAGACTTCCCCCACAGATGATGGATTGATTTGTGTACTGGGCTCCTCCTGAGCCACTGATTGGTGATGGGAATGGAACTGCCGTAAATGATTTTGAGTTAGAATGCAACTGGGAGCCACATGGGAAAGGAGAGGACCAAGCAGGGACGATACTCCACAGTTTGCTGGGTCCACGTAACCAATAGAACAAACAGCAAAACCTCAGCCCCTTGAAGGGTACCAGTGTGATTTGGTTTTGTTCCCAAAGGGGCAATTAACTTACCTGCAAAAATTCGTAAAGGTACTAGGAGAAATGTCACTGCAGCGCCTGCGAACCACGAAAATGCAAATATCACGACAAAGAAGTTGTTACTTCCCCAAATAGGCCTTGCTTTATTACAGAATCTTATAACGTCACCTTTGAACAATTTCATCAGATTCCAGGACTCCCTGAAGGAAGAACTGTGACTATATCGAAGTACCGATGGGACAAACATCGACTGTCCTCATCACAGAATCTTATAACGTCACCTTTGAACAGTTTCATCAGATTCCAGCACTCCCTGAAGGAAGAACTGTGACTATATCGAAGTACCGATGGGACAAACATCGACTGTCCTCTCTGTGCTCTTCTTTTTTTCTGGTAACATCTACCATATCAAAATATGAAAATCATAATAGCAGTAATGTAGGAAGACTCCAGGGGGATGGGGATGAAGGTAGAGTTGTCCACAGTACAAAAATATGTGGCAGGGCCCTTCTATTAAACTTTGGGCAATCTCTTTCAAAGGCTCCTCCCAACCACATACATCTTTTCTCAAGTGAGGTAAAGCATTCGGATATTTCTCTCATAAACTATTTTCAAAAGTAACATAGAGATGTTTACTGTATTAACAACATTAACAGACACAGTAAAAACTGGTTATTTATTGGCCAGAAAAGTAAGATGGTCAATAAAATCACCCTCCAGAGTCTGGAAACACCACAGAGGGGAAGACGTTGATGTAAACAATATTTTCCAGACTGCAGGACTTCCTGAGTCAAGCTAAATTGAAGACCATAATATCTCTAATTAGATTATCATCTTAAATAGCCCATTTATGCTTTATTTCACTAATCCTCTTCTCAAAAACTAGAAATTAATATTCTCAACCGCAAGTAAAATTAACTTATGTCCCTAAATGTCACAAATTTTATTGGATTTGTGTCCTTATATATTAAAGACTAAAGATAAAGCCTAAGAACCTGTTCCATCAGTCCCAGTATAATATTAATATCATTATTATTTGCTGTTATACATTAAATACCTGCTAGACAGCTTTTTACCTTTGGCAGAATGAAAAAGGCACAAAGTTTAGTGTGAAACCTACAGAGTGGCCATAAATTCTGGTGAATTCTAGTTGCAATGTTTCAATGTGTTCTCTTCCATTGTCCCCATGGTTTTTAAATTTATCCCGTATCTTTTTGGACATTTTCTTCCTTGGTAATGGTTGGAAGCCACTAAGGAAGTTCTGGATGACTTTTATGGTTAGTAAACATCTCTTGCAGAAGACCTTTTAGGCCACCCTGAACTTGGGAGTGGCATCAGGTAAACATTTACCTGACAGGAATGCAAATATGTGAGCTCACTGAAATGCATTACATATAGTAAAATTGAGTTTTTCATGTACATATTTATTATCTGTTATCCAAAAATATGTTATATATTTATATTGTATGTCATTTGAAAGTGCTTATATATAAAATTATGTTTATTATTTGGGAGTGATTTAAGGACTTTGAATAATTATTTTCAATAAATTAAATTTTTGCCTACTACTGTCTTTAAACCCTAATGCTTCTGTGAGAAGTGATTCTACTCTGTGGGTTGGGTTCCCAGCTCCAAATTCTGTTTAATTCTAGGAAATGAATTTAGCCTTCCTGAACCATTATTTTACAAAGGCTTGAGATGGTGGAAAGTTGAGTCCACATGGTGCTGAAAGCTAAATCATAACGAGAGAACAAATGGGCTAAATATTGCCCATGGGACTGAATTTACAATCAGTTGAGTCAGTGTCTGCCTGTAGAGGTACGGAAACTTCTAGCTCCTTCCACACGGCGATGCCAGTGCATGCCTTAGAAATCCACACCTGTGTTCCCCTCAGAGGCTCTTCTTAATTCTGCCTCCTTTGCTCTGTGTGCAGCCCACGTCCCTGGGGTTGCTTTCCCTTTGCCCTCTGCCCAGCCTTTTTACTGAAGCCTCAGTAGCACATTTAAAAAATTTAATCTTTGCAATGGTCTCTGAGGCTGGGTTTTTTTTTTTTTTTTTTTTTTTTTTTTTTTTTTTTTTTTT